AACTGACTCATAGAATTCAGAAAATTCATTGAATTACTAACACAACTTAGTACATATTGGGAGAACAAATGTAGAAATATAGTTCAACTTACTTTCAAGGTTTCTTGACTACTTTACAGGCAAACAAGTTTGAGTTTCTTTTTAAGAATTTCACCCAAAGAAGGCAAGCTGCAGTTGCCAGAGGTACAACTCAGTATCAGTGTCACGGCAACCCTAGCTATTATCTGTGATAGCTTGTGTTTCAACCCAAATGACGAAAACGACCCTCCGCTGATGTCTCTGAGGCTTACCAGGGGGTCCCCTTCTGTGTCAGTCTGTGGAATGTGCTTTGAGGTCGTGGCTTCTTTCGTGGATGTGCAGCCCTCATACCCGACATCCTCTGGTCGCAGCTGCAGTAACGCTCCGCCCTCCTGTGGCAGAGCTGCTGCGCTCCATGGGTAAGTGTCAAGAACCCACTTAGAGGGATCTTCCCATGGCGTGCGCTTCCCATACATCTAAAGGTGGGACATATTTGGAAGGTCAGAAATTAATTTTTATTAAGTAAAAATATATGGTTACGAAAGAAATATTTCTTTTGCACGTTGATATCTTATAGGACTTTCAGAGTGACTGTATGCAGTTTTTCAGATTTTAAATGTATATATACCTCACTTAAAATTGAAACCATACAAAATAAAACTGAACATCTGGGTAGATAATCAGCCCTTGGGGAGAAAATGGAGCTTATTATAAATACATGTCCAAATAACTGTCCCCACGTCTTTGTTAATAATTTCATAAACCAAGAGAAAATTCAAGGTTGCTAAATAAAACCTCCAGTTTTAGAAAGAGGATTTAAAGAAATCCACTTTAATAAGAAAAAGTTATCTACCAACGTGTGATTGGCAATGATATTAAATAGATGAACACAGAATTATTTTTTCCTGTCAAAATTCATTCTTACTGTTACTTCTACCATCCGCCTCTGATGAACACCCCAAATGGCAAAGATAAAATCTTTCCTTTAGCCTCTACGGGACAGACTCAAACGTCAACTCCAAAGCATTGCAGGGGCTTCTGATTTGTCAGTGGTTATATTTCACTTTAATCTCACTGAACCACAGCAAACCATCACAGTGGGACACAATACGCTATTTCTTGTGAGAGTAAGTCAGCTCTAGGTAGCCCAGATTGTCACTGGTTGTACTGGTCCAGTGGGGAGAGAAAGACACTGTATCTTTTTCTGTTAATTTAATTTTTTTATTTTTCTGTGGCCTCAGTGTGTGTGTGTGTGTGTGTGTGTGTGTGTGTGTGTGTGTGTATGTGCATGCGCTTAAACAAAGTCTCATCAACCTCCAACTCCTCATTATCTCTTTTCTAGATTTTCAACTTAACTTTTCTATTTCAAGAATTCAGTGCTTCTTGGATTTAATGTCTCCCCTCAACCAGACTAGATATCTTTTTCTTATTGTACTATTTGTCCTTGTATGAATCTTTTACAGAACTGATACTTGAGATTTTCTATTTTTTATCTTTTTTCCTGGTGGCTGGATCTATCTATCTATCTAATCTATCTATCTATCTATCTATCTATCTATCTATCTATCTATGCATCAATGATGTTACATGGGGAAATTCATTGGAGGTAAATGTTTACCAGGAAAATAATTCTAACTCTCAAAGTATTAGTGAATATGAATTTTTAGAAACAGTTATTTAGAACTGAAAGTTTTCTCTCAGCTTAAATCCTATTTTTAAGGATCTAAAATATGGATTGTTCTATAACTTAAACTAATTGAAGAAGCATATATAATTCCTGGAAAGCTTATGCTTTCATCAGGAAAAAAAAAAAACTTGAGAGTCTAGAATTAACCATAGAAGAACATGAACACCTATACCCAACAGATGTCAGCCTTTGAAAGAGCCACGCAAGATATCTTCCCCTAAGGAAATGCACAGACTCGGGAAAGACAAGGAAAAGTTAAACTTAGCTACCTCTGTTTTGGAATAAAGAGATATTATAGAAAAAGAATGAAAAGAAGAAGAATCTGAACATTCAAAAAAAGATGATTAATTGCTGACATTTGAGAAAAGACTCAACCACCAGAATACAGAATTCAGTCCATTATATCATCAGCATCTTTTCCAGCTACAGCATGAGTTAGAGAGCAGGCCTCACACTGGTCCTTACCAAAGTCAAAATGAGACTTTCAAGAAATATCCTCTGGGGTCGGCCAAATAGCTCATTAATTAAAGTGCCTGTGAGCAGGCACAGGAGCCAGGGGTTTTGATCCCCAGGCCTGCCAAACTGGCCTTGCCCCAACGGCATGCTGAGACTGCAGTTGAGACTGGGTGTGGTGGGCCTGTAATTCCAGGTCATGGGAGGCAGATCACAATGAGTTCGACCTAGTAGTGAGACCCTGAATACCTTGTAGACCCTTCACTAAAATACAGAAAAAGAACCATCTTCTGAACTCAGAATTTATCTTTGCTACTGAGCTTCACTTTTGTCACCTCTACCTCCAATTCAGGGTTCTTTTTGCCAGAAGATCTAAGGGGATATTCATGACATACATGAGTCCTTTGTGTCCTCGTCCTCTGGAGGTGATGCAAGGAGTTCCCTAGCAATACCTGCTGCCAACTGGCTCTTCTGCCCAACACAGTCTTCAGCAAAAATGAGAGCTATCTATCTCCTAGAAGGTTCTACTTTCTTGGTTTTGTGTGGGCCAAACTCCTACTCCACCCCCAAGTATTTGTTAATTCTAGTAGCAGTTATGGAAATCATAAATAAATATACCAAACCAAAAACTGCCTAAATCCTGGCTCAGTTATTGAAAAACAGATTGTATTCCTGCACATTAAGCTGGGTGATTGTATAACATAAATCAGGAATTTTTAATTCTATAATTTCATGAAATTTAATACTCAAGTCAGGGAAATAGTAATTCTGATGGAAAGGGGATAACATATTTTGTTGAAAGAACAAGGTTTCCTTGTTAGTGATATACTTTCACTTTTTAGTTAAGCATAAACAAGACTAGTTGTGGAGCCTCATGGCTCTACAGAGGTTCTGTCAGGCAGATGAGAGAAAAGGTAGAGAGGCTTTCAAATCAAACAGTCATAGGTAAAAAGACCAACAAACTTTCTTATAATTCAGAGTATTCTCTCAATAATTGCAAAGGCTTCTACAAGTGGAATATCAAAGCTTTGAACAGTAAGACATGGTAAAATCAGGGCACCTATATGTGAATACTACTTGCTATACATGATATGATGAATATGAATAATCAAACCCTAGGAAATCGTGGCTGTGTCAAAAGATGCAGAAGCGCCCAATTAACTGTCTAATAAAAGCAGTCTCAATACCTGCAACAAATGGATAGTTGTCGCATGACTTGTGCTTACTCTTTCTCTTTTATGTTTGTTATCACAACAAGTAAAACACTGCATGTTAGTTGCTCTTTATTGCTCTATATATTTCATGTCTTATGCCTGAAATGAATGAAGGTGCTATTTTGTGTTTGAAAGTTATGCAAATTGAATATTATACCTGAAGGCCTTCTCTTACTGCCTCCAGAATATAAGGTACCAAAGAGTAATTCCAGAGATCCATGAACCAAACTCTGGAGCCTTCTACATCCATGGGACAGGGAAGGAAAAGTCGAGGACCTGAGGAGACACATGGAACAAGATACACTTGAGAAGTATTATATTTGCCAATCTCAACACATATTTAGACAATATTTTGGGAGATAATATTTTTCATAGGATTCCTAGTAAACTATATTCTTAACTAACTAGATGTTTATTAAAATCCATTGATTCAATACTTACTCTCCTGATCTCACTTTTTTATAATAAAATATTAATCTAAAGCACAACATATTAAGTTAGGAGAAATAGTAAATGTCACTAAGCAGTCAACCTGACTAGTTTTACAAATAACGTAAAATTCAGCTGTGTGAAATGAATTGTTCAACATATAATGCCATTTATCTGTGGAATTTGGGCTCTAGATATTTTGATCCACCACATACAGATTTCTTAAGTTACAGTGCATCAATAGTATGTTTTATGACTCATGACAACTCAAAGAATACAAAGACAAATATATTAAGTATATATAAGAAAAATAATTCAAGTATTTTTGTCTCCAACAAAAATAAATTTACATATCTGCTAAATTATTTTTTAAATTTTCTGTCATATATTTGATATGAGCAATTAGCTAAAATTAGTTTTAAGCAGTAAAAGTACCCTAAAAGAAACTATTTATTTACCTCAAATGATAACCAGATTTTAAATATATGCCTTTATTGAATTCATTTGACCTCAGTCAGCAATATTTTAGGAAGCCATAATGGTGAGACAGAATAAATTTAATTAACAATACAGAACAGAAAAAGGCAAAGTTTCAAGAAAGAAAAAATAAGTTTAAAATTTTGAGCTTGAAAAACATTAGGTTTGGTTGTTATTTTCTACCATCCAATCTGGCCATCTTTACCAAGTACTCTTAGTCCCTGTAAAATGGCATATTGTAATTTTGGAACTCACCAATGGTAACATCAGAAGAACTGTGTGTTTCCAAAAAACTATTGAGATGATGCCACGTCTTAGGAATCCAATCTATAATTTTGACTAAGTCATTATTGCGTATATTCCTTTCAATTTCCAACTCTATCAGTTTCCTTCGAAGGTATCTACCTAAAAAGCCTTTCACCGGTTCAGTGTGATTTGCACATAACACCCACCTACAAAAAGAGAAATCACTCATTTGGATATGAATGAAATGGAATTTCACAGTAATTTCTTTTTCAATACAACACAAAGCATTCCTGTACAAATTGATGGGCACATTAAATGGTTCAAGGAGTCAGCAGTTCATTTTCATTAGAGTTAAAGGGTGACAGACTCCTCTTGCTGAGCTGAAGACATGCTCCTGTGCGTCAGCAGCGAGTGGGCGTTACACACTGATCCCTCCTCAGCAGCACCGTCCTGAAATAGGTCCTCTCACACTTAGGAGAAAAGTACTCTACTTAGCTGAGGACATAGTGGGTAGGAAAAGGATTTCTACTTTTTTTCTTTTTTAAAGAAACACTTCTGATCACTGGTTGAAGATCACACAATGTCTGCTGAAAAACCTCAGAAGATAGGCAAAGTATTTTTACACCACGGGATGGCAGATGAAAGGAATAGAAAAATAAACACCAAAAACAAACAGAAAGGTGCCCAACCAGACAATCCCACCCACCCCATCAAAAACAACCCCTTTCAATTGATCTTTACCTGAAGTTGTGATGCAGTTCTAGATTTGGTGAGGAAGAAACTCCCTGATTCATTGTTCCAATGATGTAAGGACTAAGAAAAATAAGGGGTACAAAATTTAGACATACTCAAGGGAAAAAGGATTAATACATTGATGCTGTTTTAGAAACAAGGCAAATAAAAATTTTTGCCTTTTAAAAACAGACTTTAAAAAGGCTGTTTTGTAGTGTTAGATTGAAAAATGGCAAACACAGTTGCACTGAAAATTTCTATTGGGGATTCAAATTTGAACTCTGGCATCCAGTGAAGGCTTTCTCTCTCTCACAGTGTAAAATTTGCTTATCAATAAAATAAAGAAGTTAAAATAATCTCATGGCTTTTGCCCCCCTCTAACATCTTATAACTAATAATTATAATAAAAACATATCATTTTTTCTATTTTAGTATTTCATAGTTATTTTAAAGGTTCTCAATAATATACAGATTATTTTCAGTCCAATTAGTTTTAATTGGGACATTAAGTTCTATTAAAATTGAAATCAGTTTTGTTCATTATGTCCTTCTGTTAGAAGCATGCTCAAATGAGTCTTAGTGAGTCTTCAGATTTTTCATCTTTCTTATTAATACTGCCCTTCTTAGTAAATAGAAGAACATGACAGTAAATAAGAGGTCCATGTCTGGATGAATTAAATGTCTCTAGAGAAAGTTAGAGTTAAAACTTTGACGTGGAATTAATATGAAACTAGAGCTCTAAAGTTTCCTACTAGTTACTATTTCCTCATTGAAACCATTCATCATTAATCTCTATAACCTAACACTTTCAAAGAAGTAATATTTCTTAAAAAGTGCCTGACATATAGCTGTTAGATGAATAGATATCCTAAGGAATGCCACCTGTAGATTCTTTGAAAATGTGATACAATATTAACAAGAGGGTCAGAACTCATGGCAAAAATCATAGTTCTTAAAATACAAAAAGGCACAAGAAAGGAAATGAGGGGCCGGGGAGATGGCTCAGTGGAATAACCGCTTCCCTGGCAAGCGCAAGGGCCTGATTTCAATCCCCGGTTCTGCAAAAAAAAAAAAAAAAAAAAAGAAAGAAAGAAAGAAAAAAAGGGAAATGATATCTCTATTTTTCATATTTGATTATTTTAACTATTTTATAAGCATACCATTTATTGTATTTACAATTGAGAAAACCATTGAAGATATCACTCAAAGATCCCACATGATGAAGATTATCAAGGATTATTACAACGGGAAGCTCAACACCATTGTTATCAGCGCTGCACTGCTCAGCCAAGTTAGCCAGGTACTGCTGTAATTCCTTTAAAAGATTAAGAAAGCAAATCTCTCAATGATAAGTTCATAACATGAGGAGCAATAGATATTTTTAAAAAATCACACTTTTTTTTCTATCCAGGTTTTGTTTTCACTAAAAGTTACAGGCCATTCTATTACTACAACACCTTCTATGAGACCAAAAAAAAAAAAAAAAACCAGACAAAATCAATTTTTTAAGGAAGAAAGAGAAGAGAGAAAGTAAAAAAATTATAGTACTTCTGGCAAATAAAAACTATAAGTGAAGACATATTTTTCTATTTTTGCCTTAGAAAGAAATGAGTTCTAAGTATGATTAAGGTGAACCATAAACACTGAGACTGATATTTCAATGATTAAATGGATTTTACCCAGTTTATCATTTCAAGTACAGATTAAAACCCAAAGGGTACTTCTTTGTTTCCACTAAAATGTTCACTGTTTCAATTGCAATTCATTTGCATCAGAGGCATCTAAAAGCAGAGCCATAGTACTCTGATAAAAGTGTGCATTTTTATATAATCTATAGGCAGCTGTTGAAATTTTAAACAAAGACATTTGTTGTATTTCCCAGGGTCATTTAATATTAGCATGTAGTGTTTCTTGAGCATCATAATTCACACACAGATATTATTCCCGGTTAATAGGTTTTAATTTAAATATGATAACCAGTTTTTTGATTGACTGTTCGCACAGATGGGTAGGCCAGGAACATAATTAGGTTTTTAGAATTAAGCTAATCAGTAAGAGCATTTCCATAATATTTGCATATTTACAATGACAGTTTCAATTTGTAAATCTTGCTCAGGATTAAAAGAAAAAGATATTCCATGATCCCAATTTCTGGCAGCCAGGTAAGTACATGAACCACTTACTAGATGCTACTGCTATCTCTGCAAGGCAACTTCTAGAACTAAAAATAGAAAAGGGTAAAACAATGGCCAGGGGCTCGAGGTATTTGCAAATAGTTACTTAAGCTTAAACATAAAATCTATTAAATAACTAAAATATTTGCCTTATAGTACTATAGAACAAAGATAATATGATAGAGATCAGTCACACAAAAGAAATGCTGCCTACATAAGAAACTATAGGAATAATGTGTTTAAAACTGGTGGAGAGTCTAGAGTTTATTCATTTTAAAAGAGAAAATGAATTTTCTATCACTCACTTAGCTATATTAAAAGATTCATATATTTATGAAATATTCACTGTCTATCCAGTATGCTGACAGCCTTAGACCTTGTTGCTTTCTCCTTTAGGCTCTAAAAGTTTTCACATTAGAGAATAAAATTTAGATATGATAAATCATTGCAGGATAATGCCATGAGTGTCTTATGAGATTGGAGAATTCAAAAGAAGAGCTTTCACCTAGCTTAGGGGTGTCAAGGACAGTTTTCTGGAAGATGTAATGCTGCAGCCTGGGGAGGGTGATCTGCACACATAAGTAATGAGCTTACAAAATGCAGTGCAACATGTCAACAGATGCTAGAGAAGCCTGTAGAAAAAAAGAGATTGATTCTACCCAGGATATCCTAGTGGTCCTCACAGGGTGGTGGCATTTTAGATAAACCTTGTATAATAAATACAATTGCATATGACAAGTGTGCAGTCGTTCATTACTTCAACCCACCTTTTAAATACCAAGCATTTACAGCGTGCCAGGTATGATAGCATCAAAGCTAAATATTGCTGCGTTCATAGAACTTGGTGTCGATAAGCTGAGAAACAGGCCAGCAAGTTAATCACAACGCTCTGCAGCACGCAAAATGCACCAAATGTAGGAAGATGAAAGAGAAGCATTTGACCCAGTTTAAAGTTCAGACACCAAGATACAGTAAGAGAGAGCTTTTAAAATCTAAATAATAGCAAGTGAATGTTGGAGAGTGTGAGTGCATCTTGTGTGTCAGAAAATAATGACTCTATTGTCCAAGAGAATGCAATGCAAGGCAGTGGTGTGTGCGACAGATATAAAAATAGAAGATTTTGTATCCATGCAGAAGCAGTAGGGCTTTATTAGACAAACAACTGTAAGCCATCAGTTTGTTTGTTTGTTTGTTTGTTTGTTTGTTTTTCCATTGTCATTAAGGAGAGCAATGTACTTATCAAAGGAAACGCAAATGTGAAGGATAAAATGATTAATTCAAAATGAAAAAAGAACTCAAGAAGTATATTATTTACATTAGGCATATATTAATATAACTAACAATCAAAATACATTACTTGTATAGATCAAAGATTTTTGTTTAGAGGATAGAAACATAGCATTTAGAAGAGACTTTCTGGTGGCCATATTATTTGCTATTAACCTTTTATTTTTTCATTTTATGTATTTGGTACAGGGTCTCATTAGGCAGCTTGAATTCATAGTGATCCTCCTGCTTTCAGCTTCCCCAGTTCTGGGTTAACTTTTCCTTTTAATATTAGGTAATATTTTGATGTTGAGAAAAGGAAGAAGAGCTTTACAAATGATCAAGAACGAATCAGGGCCAGGGAGATAGCTCAGTAGAATAAGTGCTTCCCTGGAAAGTGCAGGGTCCTGAGTTCAATCCCTGGTATGGCAAAAAAAAAAAAAAAGTGTATCAAAGGCACACACATGAATGAAAGCCACAAGGGAAAGAACGTGTAGGCTAAGTTTTGCACCAATGAATGATGGCAAATGCATTGCAAGAAAAAGTACTCAGCTGGATGTTTTTTGACTGCCGGGAAGAAAATGAAGTGTTTTGGGGGTCTAAGTAAAGTCAAATCATTACAACAGTGTGGTAAGCAGATTGCAAAGGATCTTTTCTTAAACATCTGAGTAAAGCGAACACCAAACTTGAATCCAGGAGTCACCATGGGTCTGAATTGGGAGCATTTTGATCTAGTGCAGCAGGTGAAGGGAAAACATCTGGCAGATTTCAGCATGAGCACATTTGTAAAAAAGATAGTTCTGTTTTCTAGTATATGAGTGGATAAGGCCAATAACAGAATGCAGAGAAATTTCATGGTAAATGTGAGTTAGGCAATCAGAAAACAACTACAGAAGTCCAAGTGATAGAGTAATTAGTCTGGGTAGGAAGGTGGTTGTAATAGAGATAAATGGACTTACGTTTTTTCACAGCTGGGTTTGTCATGTCTAAACTCATGTTGTAGCAGGTGAACAAAAGCATATTTATAAGCTAATGTAAAGCTTACAAAATTGAAATAGTGACACAGCTAAGTGTTCATGTCAACCACCTAAGTCCACATAAGTTGAAGTCAGAGGAATGCTGGGGAAAGTTTCATTTACTGGTAGGTAAAGAAAGAGTAGTCACAGAAACAGACCTAGAGAGAAATATGAGGCAAGTAGGAAGGGAGGAGGAGAGCATGATGACCACGAAAGTCGTAGGAATTTCTAGAAGGACAAGATGAACTGTAGCAACATTTTAAAGAGAAGATGGGGAGAGAGTGAGTTAGCAGGTAGCCAGTGAAGGCAGTAATTAGGAAGTCCCAGCATGATTTTGGACAAATGCGGGTGCCACTAGATTCTTCAACTTCCTTTGGTGACCGGCAGTGCATCCCTTGGGAGGTCATGAAAGCTGTAGAGCGTCAGATGAAGAAAGAGACACACACAACTATTTTTTTCATATGACTCAAGAGGTTTTTGCAGACTCCCTCACATCTTATATTATACACTGAAGTGCACTGGTGCATCAAGATTAGAAGTTCCACGTCTGTATGTGGTTAGAAGGAAGCAGGGTGGATAGCTACCAGAACACTGTCAGTAGACACTGCTTGTGAATTATACACTGAACAACACAGTGCTATGAAGATGGCTGGTCACTGCTTTTCCCGATTTTTTGACTCCAGAAACATTAAAAATGAATCTGCTGGGCCAGCGAGATAGCTCAGTGAAAAAAGCACCTGCTTAGGCAAATGCAGGCACCAGGGTTCGATCCCCAGCACCACATGCCATGCTGGCCTTGCCCCCCAGGTGTGCTGAGCCTGCCACTGAGTCCAGGCATGGTGGCGCATGCCTGTAATCCCAATGCTAAGGAGGCTGAAAACAAGAGGATCACTACAAGTCTGAGCTGCATAGTGAGATCCTGTACCAAATATATAAATTAAACAAAGCAAAACAAAGAAAATGAATCTGCCAAGTCCAGCTTTCTGATGTCCCTCCTAACATTCCAATGGCTGCAGCTGGCTCCATAGTCCTTACTAAATCCATCTCTAGTCCTCTGGGCCTGCTATATCAAATGTCACAAAGTGTAATTGTTTATGTGCACTGCTCTCAATCAAAATATTCCAGCTGGCAGCTTGAGGGAGGGCTTGAAGTGTAGGAAGAAGAACAGAAGGTAAAATGTAGAGGCATCAAAAATTTGGTATTTTAGAATAAGCAAGTGCTTTTTGGTTGTGTCTCGCCCCTGCCCCTGCTATCCACGACACAGCACAAAATGCACCTATAGTTATACACCTCCTTTTTCCTGGAGAAGAACTTACTATTTCATGTCTCATTTGCATTTTATCTTAATAAACCTATAGAGTTAGCAGCCATCCCTAATAAAATCTCAACTTGTCATCCCTCCTCTTTCTGTCACCTTCACTTATACCCACTCCATGTCCAAAAGCAAATAACATATGGATTTTTCTGTCCACCTGGCAAGAGTTAGTCAGATTCTCTGGCAATGGCCCTTTATCCAGCATAACTGACAGCTCATTCATAGCTAACAACCACAAAGAAGAAAGAAACAATTTTAGTTGTATTTTGTGCTTTCTTGGTGGTGAATGCCATGCAATTTTCCTATAGGTTTCTTCCTTTTACTGCTTCCTAGTATCATTAGTTTCATTCAAACACTCTCAGCCAATATTTTTTGTTCACTGTTTTATAACAACAAGTGAACTTCCTTAATTATGACACAGATAATGTTATTTTTCAAAACAGCAGAAGATGCTAAGAATGTTCGAAATAGTGAATGAAAATTATAAAATGATACTCACATAACATTATTATGAATATCTCCAAGCACTAAACCTTTTTAAAACTGAAATGAAACTAAGTGTATACATGCACACGCACACACACACACACACACACACACACATTTATTATATCTTAAATGGAGATATCTTTTGTAACTAATGAAAATTATCTTTTTAACTTAGTGCATCAACTTACATCCTAATGAAGTTCAAAGGCAGTCTGCATGTATTTAATTTAAACACTGATTTTAAGTGATCTGCAGCTCTATCAAATTGTTTTGATTCACTCTAACAAAACTATTTCACTCATTTTCTAACCACTCTTTTTTTTAAATTAAAAAGGTTGTATAGAGTTCTTATAAATCAACAAAAAGGAAAAACCAAATGAAATTGCAAGAATACCTAAGAGACCTCAGTCTTTTCCTATATTTTTTCTTTTTTCTTTTTTCTGAAAAGAAAAAAAATGTTTTAAAAGTGTCTCAGGTAAACATATGAGGAGTTCTCCTCCGTAGAGTTACCAAGTCTGAAGCCTCACAAAACCAACTGTGTTCGTTCAGCTTGGGTCAGAGAAGAGTAAAATATTCTACCTGAGGTTTTCTGTTTCTTTATTTGAAGTGACAACTATCCAGCCCCAATTTAATAAAATAGTGCTGCGTATCAGTGAAATGTGCAGAATCCGTGGATGATCCTTATTTAGGAGGCACTTTATTATGCTCAATCACTGTTCTTTTGAAGAATACATTCAAGGTGATTTTGACCATAGGGGCATGTGTGTGTATGTGGATTTCTGTAGTTAATGTGTAATGAGTGTGTAATTAATGACTATATTAATTCATATGTAATTAATGAATCATAGCCCTGATAAGAGCTACATTAACTGTCTGTCTCTCTCTCTCTGTCTCTCCATCTCTCCTTTCTCTCTCTCATTTACCCACACACAAATACATTTGTTTCATGTTTAAAACAATCCTATGTTACTACATTATACAGATAAAAAAGCAGAATGAAATAATAAGCAACTTTGCTAATGGACCCTGAATACCACAGCAGTGCTCTGAATACTCAGCTAGTCAATGTTAAGGACAGAAAGAACTACCACACTAAGAACTTTTGCTGTATGTCAGGTTTATTTCAGGAATTCAATAGGTTTGGGATCACATTTATTCCTGAAAATGTGCAGAACTGACATTCCTGAGATATGGGATCACTTTAGAACATCTAGCCAGCTTATCTTTTTACCACAATATATAATTCCTTATTACCGGAATCCCCTCAGGATATTGCCTATAGTAGTTACAGTTTCTCAAGAAATCCTTAGGTGGCATTGACTCAGACTTTGATAAACATAAGCCACAAGGATAGTTTACTTTCAGGAACCAGTTTCCCATATCAATTTCCTTTTTTAGATTTCTTCATTTTATTCAGTATGGACAAAGTCACTGGGTAGGTTTCGTAGCCCTGATAAGAGCTATAGAACATGTCTGTTCAGGCTGAGAAGTATGGCACACTGGATCTTGGCAGGTGGCAAAGCAGACACTGTCCAGGATCCTAGGGCTCCAAGACATCATTCTCACAGAGACAGAAGGAGGTAAGCAAACTGCTGAGGTCTTAGAATGTATTAATTACCATCACATCTGCATTGTGGCAAAGCCTCGGTTAATTGTCCCTTATCTCCTAAAACTTAGACCAAGTATTACCCTGATTGGCAGATGAGGAGTGATTTTTTTCTAGCATCTCCCACAGCACTGTGTACATATATTTCAACTCTCATATTTCTTAAATGGTTATCTAAAAAGAACCAGAAAAGAACTCTGCTGTTTTATTCTGTATTCTCCCAGTGCCTTATCACGTATCTGATAAATAATTATTATCGAAGACAGCAACTTTCTCCAAATTTATAAATTAAAATGTGTCCCCTTACCACATTATAGGTTTAGTGATGAGACAGATATTTTTCCATGTACAATATGAAAGTGCCATACAATCTTAAAACTTCATTACTTAAGACACTTGTGGATAAATAACAGCTGTTCTCTTAGGACCCTAAGACTTACCTTACTTGACTTGTGGTCCACATTAAAAGTGGCGATAGCATCCTCTGTTTCCTTCCTCCCAGATTTGGCTATAACATATTCAGCAAGTTTGTTTGCTAAATAGGTCTTTCCAGTCCCACTCGGTCCTGAGAGTATAATTCTGTGATGTTCCATCAACAAGTTAAAGTACCTTTGGGTAATTGGTTTAGGAATCAGTGTGTCAAAAACAAAACTATCCAAACTGTTTTCTTCTACCCCTGAAGGAAGCAAACAAAGAACACAGTGTGATGTACTGTTTTTCCATAAACTAGAATTGAAAATCTGGTGTCAGCCAGCAACAGAGCTTCATTGGTCATAAGAACACAGTCCCCACAAAATAATTCTTAAGTGTCTCTACCCCACAAGCATGTGTGGCCATTGTGAGACAGAAAATACTTCAGGAGGAAGGCAGCATGAAGGCCCAAGCAGGAGCACACCACTTCCTTTTGTTCAGGCTTGTCTCTGCGGACTGCTTCAGGCTTTCCACTTATGTTTGCAGAGAGAAGTGAAAGCATTATAAATTCTAACACAAAATATTCCTTTCCTTTGAGAGCGACTAGTTAAGATTAAATGTGGAGTTTATGTAACAGGTCCATGTGTCTCTGGGTTCGATCTTTCCATTTCACTTTTTCCTTTCTCTTTATTACCATTTCTCATTATGCATCCCAGCTGTACAACCACTTAAGACTTTGAAAGATACAAATTCTGATATTTAGCAAGGAATTAGGAAGGGATCAACACTATATCTCCTTTCACTAACCCAATTATCTTAATCATAAAATCAAATATTGATGAATTCTTGTATTAACCCAGTTTATATAAATTCACTGTGATTCTCAAACATATACAAACAAAGAATTATGGAGACACGTTACTTCAGGTGTTACATTAGCCTGTTGCTAATCACATCAGCCAAAGCAAAGAAACCAGAAGGAACTTCTCATTCTTCATTCTTAATTTCCTTCTCTGTCCCCAGTGGTTATTTATTGAGTATACATGTTTTAAAATGAAAAAAATAGAGTGGTAAATATATTACTTGGAATAAAAAGTAAAATTTTTGAGTTCTCCTGTAGGCAAAGACGAGCAAGGGGATACATCTAGAAATGTTAAACTCCCTAAATCACATCTTTCTGACCCTCCTAGGGACTACTCACAAATGTGTTCATTTCACACCCAGAATTCAAAAAAAAACAAAAAATTTCCTTGGATTTTATTTTGTTAAGGAAGATTTTTAATTTTTTAAAATCGAAATGGCTATTCCATACCAAAATTATTAAAGTGGTTAACAGAATTTATGAACATGTAAATTTAAAGGGAAACTGCAAAACAGGAGGATGAATTTGGTTTAAACATTATGCTTTCCTCCCCCTTCATTTTAATTTTTACCTTTTAGGTTCACAGTGATGGTGTTGTTGTCCCCAACAAGGTATCCACAAGGCAGCAGTTCAGGCACTTCTAAGTTAGGGGATCTAATTAAATCTCCTATACAATAACTGGCAATGCAGTCAGAGCTCAGACCAAGGCTAGAAGTTGAATCAATACGGAACACATATTCCTGAAAGAGTACACATACAAACATTAAGATGAAATAAAGGCCCAAATAACAAGCCTAAAGGTCAAGAAATATAATGATAGATATAACAAATTTTAGAGATGGGCAATACAAGAACCGCTAACTTCAAACAGTACAAGACAAGAAATCTTTATTTATTTTTATCTTTTTTGAGACAGGCTCTTGCTATATAGTTCAGGTTGGCCTTGAGCTTACTTTGTAGTCCAGCATAGTCTGGAACTTGCAAGGAGTCTCCTGCCTCAAACTCTTGAATGCTGGGATTACAGACATGTACCAGGCATGCTTCAGTTTAAATGGAGAAGATAATCAGAAATATTTACATTATTAGATTTATGGAAATAATCTAAAAAGAAACCCACGAAAAATAGTACCAGATGTCTTGTGTGACTTACCTTAAACAGTCGTCTAATTACGCCATCTAAGACATCCCACTTGGTTTTTCCACTAACACCAATGGAGCCAATCAAATATGCCTGAGACTTCTGATCCTTAATTAGAACAAAATTAAGTGAGATAAACCCAATTGTATGTCTTCTTTTATTGGTATATATTCCCCCCCAAATTAGTGATGTAATTGGTGACTACTAAATAATTCACTTAAACTAGAATTCACTAAACTGGTGTGTTATATTTTAATAAATAAAGTTAGCTATATAATAAAGCATAACTTAGCAAACTAAGGAACAAAATAACTAAAGTAACAGCAATAGCAATAATAGCAAGCAAGAAAGAGATTATCTGAATTGGTTTGTTAAGAAAAAACAATTCACGAGCATATTCAGTAGAAGAGAAAAGACAAGAATGAAAATATAGTCTTGCATTTTAATACAGTGGATCCATTCCTAACAAAAGGAAGTTGGCAGGAGGAAAAGGGTGAGAAAAACAAAGTAGCACTAGATCAGCGGAATCCTAGAAGTCCATTTTACAGTTTTTTGATCTTATCATTAAGGAGCCCAATGCTCAGCTTTTCATTTTTTAATTTTAATCCCATCCAGCTCTAAGAAATGTAATTCATGGTAGCATAATACCTGCAAATTTACAAAATAGGTCTAATTTTGAACTTATCAGAAAACTTACTTGAGGGGGACTTGCAAGAGAAAATTATGGGGTTCATTTAGCAAAGCAAAGTATATTTTTATAAGTAATGATCTTAACTCTATATTTTTACAGGATGGATTTCTGAGGAATTTCTGGAAGTATTAGAAATGTAAAGAGCTTAGAATCTGTAGTTTAAATGGTTTCTTTTATGTAGACTAGAAATAATTGCATGAAATAATGACTCTGATAGCAGTAGATAACATTAGTTATTACATTACAGTCCTATTTTTAGTCACTTATCAACTGACTAGAAAGTGGTCATTAAAGGGGTGTAGACACTGATCAAGTGCTATGTGACATGGAGTCTACAACACAGTTTTTATCACCTAGTTAAAAAAAAAAAAAAGGCCTGGGGGTAAATCACTTGGCTGGCTCCTATCCTGAATTTCTTGTAACATTTAACCTTATAAATGTAAATAACTACCACCACTGTGGAAACAACCAAAGTTAGAAGCCAACACTTTTTGCCAGAAAAGAGCTGAGAAATTTTCAGCTGAACCACTGTAGGTATGTTTTCTTCTCCTATTATGGGCTAAACGTTTGTTGCCCTGCCTGCCTCCTTTGCCCACTCATACCCTAATATGGTCAGTGTGGTGGTATCTGAACACAAGGTCTGTAGGTGTCACTAGAGTTGGATTAGTGTATCAGTTAGAGTGTGCATTAAGAGTGTGAGACTCCTGTGAAGAGAGGGGTATTAGGTGGCCTCTTTCCCTTCTCCCTAAGATGCTGAGCCAAGGCCATTTGAAAACACATCAAGAAGTTTACCATGTAGAAACCCAGGAAAGAGCCCTTTCCTGAAACCAAATGAGTCAAAACCTTGAACTTGGACTTTGTTAGCCTGTGAAAATGTAAAAAAGAAAAAAAAATCTATTGCATAAACTACCTCTTCTATAATATTTTGTTAGAGAGCACTAGAAAGCAAAGATGGCTTCTTTTTCAGAAGGTTTACTAGGGGGAAAAATGTTCAAACGCTCTGTTTTTTAGAGTTATTCTGAGAAGGAAAACTCATTTTCAATATATTTATAGAGAAGTTGAAATTGATGTGTATGCAATGCTTTAGAACAGAGGCTTTTAAATTACATTCAGTTAGGGTTTCCCCCAAGACAATTAGACATGAAGACCCACTGGAAGGTAGGCACAAATCGCTGCTCAAGCAGAAAGCTGACGGCTTTGGATTCCGTGGAACATTTGCTCAGTGTGAAATTCACAAGTGAGTCATGTCTCAAATGTTAGTATTTCAATTATTTCAAAGTTTTAAGAGATTTTGTTATTGATTAAAAGAGAAAAATTACATATGTACAAGTTTTATATTCTTGAGTACTCAGCCAAAGTTTTGACCTAAAACAATCTTTCTAGTTTTTTGAAAGAGATAGAGTCAAATAATATTGCCAGTGATATTTTGAAAGTGATATTTTAAATCTAAAGAATTAAGATACTTGCCCCATAAGCTATAATCTTGCTTAAAAATGACCCAGACATGTAGCATCGATGAGATTTGTTCTATGGATTTCAGTAGAATATGTCCCTCTGAATAGTATCTTTATTTGTACAGTCTTCTCTTTGTATTTTGGACCTACTATCAGCTCTGGTGATAGGCTACTGTACACCATATATATTACCTAAAAGATACTAGTGGCTCTGAAAGAGGCTGAGCAATAAGAATCTATGTCAAATAATACAATCATTTCTTTTTCTAAGTTTTAGAAATGGGAGGATGTCAACTAATACTGGTCATGTGATACTTGAGACACATTTCTAGTGATATGGTGATACAATTTTTTATTCTTCTTGTGTCTTAGGCTTCTATAATTAACATGCTATCAAGGCATATGCTTCCAATAGGATATTTAGTAGAATGAACCTTTAAACACAAACAGTTAACTCAGAGACATTCAGAATATGAAGAACATAATCTTAAAGAAATACCTTTGCCCGGCCATAGCCCTTGCTTATGGAGACTATAATTTTCACACTGCGACCGTCTTTATGTCCAGATGTATCTCCAGCATCATCCAGTAAAATATCTATCAAATTTTGAAGAAACAAATAACAAGGTTCCATTATCTCATATTTGTTCACTGTCCTTATTTTCTCCTTTACACTTTTTTTGTTGTTCATTGAAATCTGCTTCTCACTGTAGCCTTACTGGTTGGAAGTTAAATAGGACTCTGGTTATAGTTCAGTGGTAGAGGGTTAGTTTAGTAGGTAGAAAGCTCTGGATGCAGTCCCTAGGAACACCAGAAGCAAACAAATTACACACACATACAAGCACATTACAAATGAGGAAATGGAAATTTTCTGATTTGTTTATTATATACTGTATACATCTAACAAGTTACCCTACTGTATCCCATCGATTGTCACCATTTAAAAAGCCCTCTTCCTCATATATTACTTTTAATTCTTTTTATTGTAATGTTAGAAGTTTTGAGAAATTATAGGAAATTATAGTCTCCCTTGTCCTAACCATCTTTGCCCGGTTCTCATCGCTGTGAACCAAAAAACTTGGCTGTGCCACACCTCAGTGCCAAGAAGCTTCTGCCCGGGGCCAGACTACTGTGGACTGGATCTCCTACAACTGTGGGACAATGCAACCTCCCCTTCAAGTTACAGGCATCAGGTACTGAGCTGTATTGGCAGGAAAGCTGCCTGGTACAGCTGTGCTGTAAGAAATACAGCTATAAAATAACTTTGAGAGCTTGAGGAATATGAAGATTTACTCTAGAAATTTTTTAAATTTGCAAAAGCAATCCCTATACTAGAATTTAACTATTTTTGCAGATTAACACCCTTAAGATCTTTATCTTTTACTGATTCCACTCAAAACTCAAACTCTACAGGGAGTACTTCTTTTTCTCATTAAACAAAGTAACTATACTTCCTGTACTGTAAACCCAACTATTTGTGAGACTGAATGAAGGTTGTAAATTTGAGTTTAGCTGGGAAATTTAGTGAAGTTCTATCGTAAAATAAAACTTAAATAGGACTCTGGTTATAGTTCAGTGGTACAGGGTTAGTTTAGTAGGTAGAGAGCTCTGGATTCAGTCCCTAGGAACACCAGAAGCAAACAAATTACACATACATACAAGCACATTACAAATGAGGAAATGGAAATTTTCTGACTTGTTTATTATATACTGTATTCATCTAACAAGTTACCATACTGTATCCCATCGATTGTCACCATTTAAAAAGCCCTCTTCCTCATATATTATTTTTAATTCTTTTTATTCTAATGTTAGAAGTTTCGAGTAATTTTCCTTGTTTTTTATACCTAAGCTTCTTTTATTTCATGATCAAATTACCTCTTTAATATTTTGCTTAATTACTCATAAATACCTGTAAATATTCAACAAGTGCTTATTAAGAATAAAAGGTATAGTTTTATAAATATTTAGCAAATACTTATCAAGAAAAAAGACATAAAAAATTATGGTAGGCACTGGGAATAAATATCAAAATGAGAACAATGAATTATCTGCCTTTTCAGAATGTACATTTTCAACAAAAGTGTATCAGAATGTGTTTAGTTCTTGAAGAAAATAACCATGAACTAGTAATTGAAGGGAGAGAGCTCTATGTAAATGCCTAATCCTGGAAAGCTTCCTTGGAGATGTCTGGGCAACACTGAAAGACTGAAGTATACTAGGCTGTTGAAAATCCAGGGAAGAGTTTCAATCAATAAGAACGAGCACAGCAGCCTTGATGCAAGAACTCACGGAAGGCGAGGGGTAGCACAAAATGATGTCAGTGTAGGCAGTAGTCTATAGCAAGGTGTTTATCCTGATTACTGACCCCATATTTTCTCAGGTGGTCTTTGGAATATGTGATTCTTTCATCGTCAAACTAACTCTTGAAAACTAAACCTAAAATATGAAATTTCTCCTGACAATAGTGATGTCATGGCTCGGTTCTTGCTGTCCCCTCAAAGTCTCACATGTTGCAGCTGGGGAGTTTCAAAGTCAGCTAGACTAGGGTGTGCAAATGTGAACTAATCATGAGTGGCACTAAAATACTACGCTCATTAGAATTAGCATAGTCCTCGATGGCCACACCCGAAGGGCTGGTGGTAGAGGGCCAAGATGCGAGTCAGGCTGCCTGCCTGCCCTGTGCCGCCTTCCTGCCTGCCTGCCCTGCCGACCGTCTCTGCTCTGTCATGCCACGCTGCCTTGGAGCCGGCTGACTGAACCTCTACAAAGTGTGAGAGGAAATAAAACTTTCATCCTTTAGCTTTGGGTCTCAGGTATTTTGTCTTATAAAAAAGAAAAGTAACTAGGACAAGGGGGGTGAATATGAACAAGCAAAGGAGTGCATGTCTGTCTTGGGGCTTTGGATATGGGGCTACTTACAGCAAAATTAGATTAGCTTAACAATGTAATAGCAGAATCATCCAGATCTAGGTTGGACTACTGCTCACTATCTGGCTGCAAGATCTTGAAAAACAAAATTACTATAACGAGTAATTGGTTTTCTCATCTATAAAATGGGGCGTAAACAGCACCTCCTATTAACAGCACAAGAGATAAAGCTTTCCAAGTACTTTACCCTCCCTGTGTAGAATGCTTTGCTGTTATTTCTTTCAGCTTTATGTTTATTCTAAATTCACTTACTGATACAAGGAGGAATACACCATGAACCACCCTGGGTATTCCCTGCTCACAATACTTTGCTGGGATTATCACCTGAAGAAACAGCTTTCAAAACAGAAAAAGGAAGAAAGAGAAAAGAAACAAAACCCCAGAAAATTTAAGGAAAGAGTTCTCAGTACTTTGAGAAAAATAAGATATGACCCAAAATGTTTATGAACATTCTTTTTCTGAATTTTGGGAAGTTCCAGTTTATCTTTCAGTCATAAGACTATTTACTTTTCATATTATGAAAGGTATCAATAATAGTAGTTTTTAAAAAATATTTAGTACAGGGTCACTACACAGATCAGACTTGTAGTGATCCTTCCTGTTTTTCAACCTTCCAAGCGCTGGGATTACAGGCACGTGCCACCACGCCCAGTCTCAATTCCTGTCTCAGTGCACACCAGGGGAGGGACTCTTATGGCACATGTGGAATCGAACCCCGGTCCCTGTACCTGCTTTAAGCCGCTGAGCTATCTGGCCGGCCCAATAGTAGTTTTAAAAATTAAGACTTTTTGAAAAGAAATGATATATTAAAATATATATTTGGTATGGGCAAAGCTGTGTCATTTCTCGTATCAATTTCTCTTCCTTCTGCTTTTCCTCCTCTGGTTTCATACAAGACAACCAAGCTAAGGCTGCAATCCTACGACGGAATCTAAAACTAGCAGGCACATGCGTGTTACTGGTATGCGAGCGTCATCTGGTGGTTGTGCTTTGCAATTACTGCAGCCCTTCACGGAAACATTTCCTACACTAAATCTTACATCCATAAACTAATTCAAGGCCATAGGATCAATTATGTCTTATAATTGAATATTTCATCAGATATTAAGATAAAATGATGTCATATGATTCTGCTTGTAATTGAATCAAAACTGTACACATCTTCCATCATTAGTACTGGGGAATACAACAGAATCTTTTTGTCTGTTGAAAATTAAATAGAGCTGCAGACTGGGTGATGCGTAGCTGGCATTGTTCTCTGTCGCTAACAGCACGCAGGGTAACGTCTGGTCAAATTTAGAAGTAGGCTTTGTACACTGAAACCTCTATGAAAAGGCAAGAAGTTATTATAGATTCATGAGAACTAGTGAACACGGTTGAAAAGATTTACTAGTTTCTTCATCCTATTCATAATCATGGAGGAAGTAGTTTGCCAGCCGAAGTGATCTAAGAAAAAAAATCATTTGAAAACTGGACTTCTACCTCTTGATTCAGTTTCACAGAATATCCTTCAAAATTAAAAGGAGGGTTAATTGACGAGGAAAACCCCGGGACTTTTTTTTTTTTTTTTTTTTTTTTTTTTTAATGGTGGAACCAGGGATTGAACTCAGGGCCTTGCGCTTGCCAGGTTAGCGCTTATTGCACCAAGCCATCTCCCCGGCCCCTCGGGACTATTTCTGAGGATTAGCGTTGGCACTGACAGGCTCTCCAGGGCTCTCTGGCTCCGCGTCCCCCCTGCCCACCGCGAGCTCGCAGGCAAGCGCGCCGACGCACCTGCGGTCACCGACTCAGCGACGTTCAGGTTGTTGAGCGACAGCCCCAGCGACTGGCGTGAGGAGGAGGACGAGGTGCTGCTGGCGGACTCCGAGGGCGGCCGCGCGGGCTTAGCCGCGTTTCCGGTCTCAGCCTTTAACCGGTCGTTTTCAGCCTTCAGAATCTCAATTTCATTCTGTTAAGGAGATAGAAAACGCGAAACAACCAATTGTGCTAACTTGAGAGAATGTCATCAAAATTTATGGCAGACTGAATTTTCTATTGAATAAAGCATGTGGTAGTATGTTAAATAAGCAAATCACGGAATATTTACATGCTCCTGTATGCGCGAATAGAAATCCTAGCAGTAATATGTTTTGTGTTGCTGGGAATGAAACCCAAGGCCTCCTCTGTGCTGGGCAACACTCTACACTGAGCTGTATTCCCAGTCCTATTTTTTTTTTAAAGCTGTCCTATTTTGGAGACGTTTTCTGGACTTGGTCTCATTTAAATTAAGAATAATGTAGCCATATACTTCCTAACACTTTCATTTTAAAGTGATACGAAAATTTCATTGGCAAATAATGCACTTGTAATTCTGTGAATTCAGGGAGAGTAGGAAACCGAGCAAAACAAAACATAATATCAGTAAGGCGATTTGAAATTACTTCTACACCCTCACTAGCACATGAAAGGGTTTGTTTTTCAATACAGGACACTCAGCTTATAAAACAACAAAAACCTTTTCATGAATATATACAGGGGCAGCTGAGTCTGCTCAAGAGTGAGCATTTCTTATTTCAGCCGTCTGTGGAACCAAGTGATTACTGTTTTAAAAATAATAAAATGAAAACTTAGTCTGAGTACAGACTGATTCTGAATTTAGCCTCTACATGTTTCCAAAAGAAAAAAAAAAAAAAAAAAAAACCACAAAAGCTTTACTTTTACAGATGGCACTGTAAGCCACTTTTACTTCCATGTTCAGAAAGCTTGGGTTGAATCTCTTTAGCTTCCTTTCCATTTGAAAGACAAAATAGATGAAGATATTTGAAAGTTAGATTTAACATGAGCATTTTTAAAATTATTTAGTACAGGGTCTACAGGGTCTCACTAGGTAGATCAGACTCATAGTGATTCTCCTGCTTGCAGCCTTCCAAGCGCTGGGATTACAGGCATGTGCCACCACGCCCAGCCTCAAGCATCATCTCAGCGCACCCTGGGGATGGGGATCGAACCCCATTCCTACATCTGCCTAAGCAGGAGCTTTAGTCCCTGAGCTTTCTGGCTGGCCCTTAACATAAACATTTGTTTTAAAGCCATCATTAGCATAATTCAATGGGAAGTGAAGAGGAAGAATTTTGGTTGTTTCTGTAAAACCAGCTTGAGGTCTGGACCCAATCACTAGTCCAAGTATCTTGAATGGCCCTTGATTTAAGTACAACCGGCTACTTCCATTACCACTCTGGATTTCAGAAAATTCCTCGTTTGGCATTAAGAACTAAGTTGGAAAGATTGAATGAACAGAGTGTATTTCCATGGCAGATCTGAAGTAGAATTAATTGTCTATAACTCAGAGAAAAAGCCACGCTCTGGTCTCTCCATCTGTGCCCTAAAGGCGCTTTGGCTCTGACCTGCATCCGGTTCATGGCTTCACGGATCTGATCCAGGTGATGAGCGGAGCTGAGGGCCTCCAGGCGGATGTCTGTTAATTTTAATTCCTTTTCTCGGAGCTCACTTTTCAGCTGCAGAATTATCTCTGCTTCAGCCTCTGTGCATTCGCAGATCCTGAAGAAAAAGCAAGAGCAAAAACCATCTCACCAAATTGGTGGTCAGGGGCAGCCAGCAGATTAGAAAAAGCCTTTTTAAAAGACTGAACTGTGATCCTATCCAGCAGGTACAGAAATTATTTGCTGCTGGCAAAACCTGCAGAAAAACAGAAAGTTTTCACAACAGTAATATGTTCATAGGTTCAAAACTGAAAGTAGCTGCCCTTTTCTTTCCATCTTCCTTACCTATATTCTGAGGTTTAAAAACTTTTTATGAAGCACAATATAAAGTCAGATGAATTGCAATAGTGCTCCATTTTATTTCATGTGTTTTGAGGAACTTAGAACTCTATTTGCAACACATGAAATATTTTGCTTTTAAAACATCAAGGTATTGCACATTCAAATGGTGATTTGTTCTTTTGTAAAACTCTTTCAACAATAACCTGATTTGCCTCCATACTGTTTTTCAGGTAGATACCATGAAAATTGGATATAAATATTGCAGAAAATAATTAGAGAGGTTAGTGTGAGACATTTACGTAATGGATGAGTGTTATACAACCTTGTTAGGCTCAGCGATCTAGATCACAGCGAAAGAAGGAAAGACAGCGACTCCAGCCACCCTGGAGGCTGGGCGCAGAGTGTGCAGAAGGTCCCGTATATTACAACTTCATTGCTTTGTTTCATGTGTAGTGGGGGGGGGGCAGCTTTGTAAATCTCTATGAAAATAATTTGTTTCGTGTGAATTAGTATCTTTTCCATTTAAAATTTGAGAGCTGTTATTGATCACAAAATACAAATAATTTGTGCCTATGTCGGTGATGAGATTGTGTACCATAGTGACCATTTCATTTGACAGGGTTTTTTTTTTTTGTTCTTTCTTTCTTACTTGCTTTATTGCTTTCTCTCTGTCTGTCTGTCTCTCTCTCTCTCTTTTCTGTATTTAGGACAGGGTCTACAAGCTCTACAGGGTCTCACTATGTACATAAGACTTGTAGTGATTCTCTTGTTTTCAACCTCCCAAGTGCTGGGATTACAGGCACGCGCCACCACGTCCAGTCTCAATCACCATCTCAGCGCACCCCAGGGATGGGGCTGTCACTGCACCCCGAGGACTGAACCTTGGTTGCTGTGCCTGCCTAAGCAGGCATTTTAGTCTGCTAAGCTATCAGGCTGGCCCTGTTTTGTTTCTTTTCGATACAGGCTTTCACTATGCAGTTCAGGCTGGCCTTGAATTCATAGCAATCCTCCTGCTCAGCCTCCCAAGTGCTGGGATCACAGGCATGAGCCACCACGCCCACTCACCCATTTGACAGTACTATCATAGTTATTGTCATGGTGTGGTTACACCGGAAAATCTGATCTAGATGGTATATTTTTTTAAAAAATGTATTTAATACAGGGTTTACAGGGTCTCACCACGTAGATCGAACTTCTGGTGATTCTCCTGTCTTTACAGTCAGCCTTCACGCCCAGTCTCAATCCCTGTACCAGCGAGCCCCAGGGGTGGGGCCAGCACAGCTTGTGGTGTCAGGGATTAAACCCTGGCCACTGTGCTCTGTCCAAGCAGGCACTTTAGTCTGCTGAACGTTCCGGCCTGCCCTTAGACAATATATTCAAAACAGAATCATGTCATCAAAGTATGCTCCTACATCTTAAATGTTGTGGGCTTTTGTGTGTGTGTGTGTGTGTGTGTGTGTGTGTGTGTGTGTGTGTACTACTGAATACTGGGTTATGGCAGAAATATCATGTTAGATTATCGAATAAAATCAAAGAAAAGTGAATTATAGATTGGTTTTAAGAAACTAAATTTTAGTTGAAAAACAGAGAAAAGAAATTTGTGGTAGAAATGCATGCAAATGATTTTTTAAAGAGCAAAAATAACTGGGTTAGGTTAGAACCTGGTTCTTTATAATTTTCATGCATCACACCATTTTACCGGGATCTGTGCTTGTAGATCACAGGGCCATTTTGCCGTTTCTTTGGTGGCCAAACAAGGGGTGACCTGCATGTGCGCACAGTTAGATGCGTGGATAAATGAAAGTGAAAAGAAGAATCATGATTCAGGAAAGAGCAGAATGAGAACAAGAAACATTTGACTCTAGCAAGAAAAATCAAAATGAAACATATACTGCCCATGATTCTCACTAAGATCTGAAAGTGATTGGCAGTGACAAAAGTACCGCTGTTCCTATTTAGAACATGAACATGGGCTTGGCCTGAAATTGTTTCTAAAATCTACTAGGGCTGTGTTTTGCAGAGGTAGTGACTTACGCTGAAGCAGAATGAGAGGGCTTCATGGATGTGGAGCCGCAGGTACTGGCATTATGGGGCAGCTTGGGGGACGCAGGAAGGGACGAATCAGTAAGCTCTTCAATGTCTGAATGTGAAGAAGGTGGCTTGGTGGACTTCTTCTTTCCGAAGGCTTGCTTGAAAGAGCTTCTTAGCTGAAAGAAGGGCAGAAATTACCTATCGTGTCTGCTTGTGCTTTTGGGGGGCTTTTGCTTTGGGGCGTTAGTTTGCAGGTGCCACCCTAGCCACTGCCTGGGGTCAGTATATTTAAGCATAGTATTAACAGTTGCAGCACAATATCTCTTTAAAAGAAGACATTGCATTTGATGTTTCCCTGTATTCTTGTATTAATGCAGCGCAGCGCAAACATGGAAGGCTTTGGAGCAGCGCAAGGTCAAGGCATGGCTGTCAGAACACTCATTTAAAACTAAGTACCTTGAAGGGATCTTCACTCCCAATGCTTCTCTCTTCAAGGCAATTTGTTTTAAATGGCCACTTTAGTGCTACAATCAAGTCATATCCTGCTGACAGTACAAACTTAAAAAGCAAAATGAAATCAAATTCACCTAACACTCCATTAATTGTGATTTTCTATTCAAATTTTCAATTCCCAGACTATTCAGAACCAGAATTGGTATCCCCTGCAGCTCTATTCATAAAACGGTTTTGCTTCTTTTTAAAATTTGAGATTAAAATGAAAAGACACAAAGAAAAGACATACAAGGTAATCTGGTTTTGAAAGGTATAAAAGCCTACTGCCAAAATGAACAGCATTCATGCCAAGGCAGGGTTTTTGTAGAGATGCATGCCAAATTGTCCACAGTTTATATTCACCTCACTTCCTCTAGAGTTCACCTTGCAGGAACATGAAAGAGTGTGGAATTACAAATCAAGGGAATGAAGGCTGATCAGTATTTTAAAATATTACCTGCATAAACATTTTTTAAACAAAAAAGTTGTTTTCAATATTTACCAAAAGCACTCTGGTAAAATCCAATAGTTTTGCTTTGAGTTTCACCATGAGTTCTATTTTATTTAGAAATCTCTCCTTGTTTCATGGTAGTGAGAGAAATCCTTCATTGTTCTGAAACTATCTGCAGTGATAGTGTCTTCCTCTCAGTTTTAAGGCAATTGATTCATAGATACTTTTCATAAAATATGAAAAACATAAATTTTGATGAAAATATCTCAAACTTAAAACACAGATTTGTTCAAGTTTCTATGGTTTTTCCACATCCTCTTGGCAAAAGACAAACAAAACAAAACAAAGCAAAACAAAAACAAAAACAAGCAGACATTAATGCAATTGACTTCTTATGTTCCTCATGAGGTAACATTTTATTCATTCTATTGGCCTTGATGACCCCAAAGACAAGGTTGCACTTGAGGTCTCCTCTCTCCCTTTATCAACTCCAATATCCTTCTTACTTATCACCACCATCAACACCACCACTGCCATCCCCTCTCTGGCTACCATTGTTATCATTGTTTCATCTTTGTCCTCACCACTCTGACAATAAGCACCTGCTCTTAGTCACAATTTCCAGTGTACACTCTTCACTGTTCTGCCCTATTAATCTCAGAGATAAGTGCAGCATGGGGATACCAGGCACTTGATTGTGACTCTGAAAACTTCCCTAGATTTCTATGGTCACCAAGAAAGAAGACCGAGTTGTTATGCAATGACAAGATGGCTTAGATGGGCGATGCGGGCTTACCCAGTTTTTCTTTTTCTTCTTCTTCGAGTCAGCATCGTTACCACTGCCAATACTGGAATGGCTGGTGGCACTGTTGATACTAGAAACACTTTCAGAAGAATGCTGTCTTCTGATGCGGAGGTCTAACAACAGATAGAGAATATCACATTCATTCCGATTCTCAGTCTGAAAGGATAAATCCTCAAGGCTTTCTGAGAGGAAGTTCTCTAACAAAGTTCAACAAAGCTTTGTACAGATCATTTCAGGGCAATTTTGGTCTTACAAATTTAATAATGTGTGACCATATTTGCTTTAATTAACTGAGTTATCTACATTAAGATTCAATGAGTATCTCCTCAGTCTGAAGCACTGGTGGTTTAATGAGTTATGAGTCCTATCCAAAAATGAAATGCTATGCTAGTGATTCTACTGAATACCTGGATCAAACAACAATTCCAACATGATTTATTCCAAATGATTAGTTCCATGGAGTAAGTAGAAATTCATAATAGGATGAGAATTAATTCTGTCTTTTTAATATTTGTGCTTTGAATCAAGTTATCAAAGCCAAATATATTAGCTTTCCATTCCATTGCATTGTATCCTGTTAGAGCCAAAACATAAGCATATTATCTCGCAAATGAAGAAATTCAAGGGCAAAGAAATCCAGTAACTTGATCAAGGTCAAAGAGGCAATGAAGATAAGAGTTTCAAAGAGTATAGGCACTATGAATTCGGGAATTAATCAGAGAACATTTTTAAGACAATGTAGTACTTTTAACATATTCCTAGGCTCTGTACATGACTTAGAATAGCAACACTAACAGCAGTGTGTTTGCAAACTCCTTAGCTTTATTCTTAAACAACTGAAATTAATTTAAGTACTAAATGTATTTTGCACATGGACATATAATTGAAAAATAGTGAAGTCACATTCACAGCTAGACTAATTCTAATATATGGCATGCTAGCGCTACTATAGTTACACAAGATATTTTGAAGAGAAGAACATCTGATATTTAACCATGTCAAAAGTCTAACTTATTCCATAGAGTTAGCTTATACATTCATTTATAGCCATTAAAATTGAAATTGAAATTTTATCTACTTTCATTAAATTGATGTTAAATGTTGGTGAGACACTTAGAGAATTTATGAGATCATATCTGTTTTCAGGACATTCCTACTAACTTATTTAATCAACATCAATGCACATTAACCAAGCAAAATATTCTCTGTGGAACTTGGAGGTTGTCACAAAAGTATCACAAAATAATTTTTCAATTAGTTTCCATAGACAATTGTTTAAAATGAAGTCTGTCCAGCTGAACAATTTTTGAACAGCAAAAACGATCAATGGCAATAAGTCATAAGTCCATTACTTCATGTGTCAAAGTGATTCAGATATACATATGTATATATACAGATATGTGCATATCTGTATATATTCACACTTATACACATACAATAACTATCTTTATTTTCTCATTAAGGAAATCATGCTGACAAATTCTATAGGAGGAAAAATATAGCTACTTTTCAAATTTCTTAGAGCTTGGTCACTTAGAATTTTTTTATACAATAGTGATGAAGGTATTTACAGATTTTTTCCATGTAAAAATATTATTAAATTCAAAACCTGAATCAAAGTACTTATTGTACCATTTTTATTAAACAATAAAATAGCCTTTAATCATTTAGTATGTCATACAAATAAATAATAAGATATGTGTAGATTTATTTTTATGTTTTAAATTTCTGGTGCAGTTGGTTACTAGCTTTTCTGATCAAGATATAATATTTTTTAATTTTTTTCTTAATAATTAACTTTTATAAATAGAAGAGATAGTGTCAGAAAATTCTAGTTTTATTTGTACCTGGAATTAATAAGTTGTACTTTATTTTTTATGAGCACCAATTTAAAAGTGGGTAAATTACTATAATCATAATTCAAATATATTCCTTGAAAGTTTTAGTCACCTTTCAAAAAACTGCATTTACCATTAAAGAGTAGTACAATCATCCTCTCGATATTATCACAGAAGTTAGGGTGATGGGCCTTACTCTTTTCCAACAATTCCTTTCTAGTGCTTAGACAGATTGGATTCAACCTATAAAGCACCATAGAGCTAGTAAAGAAGAACTAACCAATGTACTTCAACAACTTGAATAACTGGAGAATGCTATTTTCAAGCTATAATTTCCAGTCACATGTTGGTTCTCTCATTTATCTTTCCCTTCACACCTTCGGCATCAGTTCCGCCTCAGATCAGGCCTCCAGCATCGCTTACCTGGCGTGCAGCACATATCGCAATCCTACCTACTCACCTTTTTCAACTCCTAAGTTAAGACCTTTCAACAGACTCTAATTTCAGTAATATTAGAAAAACTCCAATGTGAAACATCTGAGCAAGAAGCCCTCAAGGAAAGGACAGATAAACAGGTCAGTACTCTCTCCTCCTCTGTGCTCTGCTCATGTCGCCTTTGTTCATGATCTTTGCTGAGTCTGTTCTGTAAATGCACTACTAGCTCTTGAATTTCAAAGCCCTTCTTGCACATTCCTCCTCAGTTGTTACCGTATGATTTTGTAGTCCCCCACCCCCAAAGTGTTGGTGCCGGGGAAAGGTCTTTCCTGAGTGTTCAAGCTCTCCTAGTTTCCCAATACCCTTTCCCCCCTCCCATGACACCTTAATCTTATCTATCTTTAAATTTGGAACTATTTTCTGCTCTGTCACTAGACTAAATAGTCTAAAATCTACTTTATTTGCTATTGCTGTCTAAATCCAGAACTCCGTACATAGTGTGAAACAATGAATATACACTTGTTGAATGATTTTATTCTGATTATTCATTTATTAAACTTACCTACCATTATTCTTAACAAGTATTTACTATGAATGGCAATTTAATATGTGTTGCTGATCTGCCCTTGGTAATTGTTAAAAGAAAACTCTTTCATTTTATACAGAAGTAATGACTTTTAAAAAATAGCATATTGAGAAAAAAATGAAAGTGTCATATTCTCAATTTTCAATTTCACATAAACTGTGCTTGCTATAATAACTTTATGTGTCTTTCATTCCAGTGAATTGTGAGTCTTTTGAGTACAGTCATTCATTTGTATCTTTTTTAGGTATAACCATGTCAAGTATTCAGCAGATACTTAAATATGCTTTTAAGTAAACATATTATTTTATTCTAGTCTGTATGTTATATCTCTTGCTAATAAATGTGATACATAAGCTTAGAGAAAACAGAATGGTAAAGTAACATATTTGTATATGATTTAGTCATCCCTTGACCTGTTTATGAAAGTTCTGGTGCATTACAAATATTTATCTTAACATCATATGTTAAAACTTATGTAACAAATATATTTTAAAGTCTCAATCACTGAATTTCAGTATCATTTCAGAGTATAAATTTAGAGAGCATCCAATCACCTGAATAACTCAGTGGAAAGATACACAGTTACTCCAACTGAATGCTTAGTCTATGCAGTATTAATAGTCAATGTGATGGAAAAAAACTTTCAGAATTTAATATTAATTAGTATCTCTTCAGAAATACCTTCTATATATTCTGTATATAGCCAATGCTTTATAAATAACTTTTCTAGTTTTAAAATAGAAAAAAATTACTTTTTAACATTTCTTAACTATATTAGATACATTTTCTCTTTCACTTAGGCACTACCATTCCCACATTTCTGAGCAAAGGAATTCCTAGTTTTTATTTCAAGCAGACAGATTTTACTACCTGTTGCCTAAGAGAAAAAGAAACCTTCTAGAAAGTTCTACTTCAGTGACTTGTGCTGTATTAAATAAGGGATTAAGCCTTTTTAATCCCTTCTGGACCTATTTACGACACAAAGATTTAGAACATAAGCTGCTTTATTATGGCTCTAAGATAAGCTTTAAATACGCAGTAATTTTCCATGTAGCATAGAAATCAACTCCCCCACATGGAAAGTTCCTAAGTTCTTCAGAAAAATAGACCATAGAAAACTAGTGTGTCTTTTAACTAAAGTATATCTCATATTAAATGATCATTTTCCTAATATTTAAATTCAACTATTCTTTGTTCAATTATGTTATTATCTTCTGTAAAGTTTGACTAAGACCCTTTTTTATGTGCAAGTCTTAATCACAGGCATTAGGATGGAAAGTCAAGCCCTGCCACCATGAGTACAGAAAGACTGAATAATGGACTTTTTAAAAAGTACACCGATTTCTGGCAACCTACATTAGGGATTTTCATCCAGTTTAGGGGGAAGGCATTTTTAATTCCTGCCATTTTCCAAAAACATCTTATGCTTAACTAACATGGTACTAACTTCCAAGGGGAATGAACAGGCTGCATTAGGAACTTACACTTGACAACTTAGAAGAAAATAAGGACACCTGAAGCTTGGGCTATAGATAGAGCAAAACAAAAGAGCAAGAGAGGAAGTCGAGAACAACATCTCACATGTAATTACAATCACTGAATTTTTTTTGGAGTGAATAAAGCTGGCCAAGAAAGATTATGTCACATTGAAAAGTTTGAATATCCACTGAAAGGCAACAGATACCTGTGGACATAGGAGTTTAGATGATGGCTTTGGCTGTGCTATGAAGAATGGTCAAAAGTGGGTAAGTTTCAGAGCAGGAAGCCTGTCAGATGCAGTTTCCACCACTAACACAATGAGAATTTTAAGAGTTTTATTAATTAACTGTCGTATAAGTCACTATCAATCCTGGAGAGAACAGTTGTGCTATTTTAGGAAATGGAAGGAACAACCTAACACACTGGCTCCAAATCCCAAGACAAACGCAATTATTATGTAGAACAAACATATATTACTGATAAAAATATTCCAAAGATGTTTTGCATGTCTGACAGAACACAGAGGTTTAGGAAAATAATTTTAAACTGAGAAACAGTCAAGCACATTTAATGCTATTAAAAGGAGCCAAGAGGTGACTAAGAAGAACCTACGTAAAGAAAAGATGACACAACAATGAGCACTTCTTCAGTGGAGAACCAAGTGATAAGCATGGTGTCAAGGAGTTTTTCTATAGAAAATATGAAATTCATGATAGCGAAAAACAGGTCAAATGTTAGTCGTCTTCTTACATTTAAATTACCTATGAGAATTGATCTTTGTAAAAAAAAAAAGAAAAGAAAAGAAAATGAAATGAAATGAAATAATGAAATGAAATGAAGTGAAGTGAAATGAAATGAAATGAAATGAAATGAAATGAAATGAAATGAAATGAAATGAAATGATCCTTGTATCGATCACACCCAGAAGAAAGTGCTTCTCATGTTCACCTGTTGGTATATTTGCAGATTGGCTGTTTAATGTTACATATAGCTCTAGATTACCATAATCATGGCTGGTCTTGATTTGCTGTCAGAATGCAAGCATTAATAAGTCCACTCTCCCACACCATGGAGAGAATTTTTTTCCAGATTATAGAAATGAATTCATTAAGGTAATTTTCAAAATTATTTGGTAATGAAGGCTATTATTCTCAAAGTTAGACTTCTGATCACATTAATTGCATCTTGTTTTTTTTTAAAAGGTAGTGCCACTGAATAATGCAGTTTTCCTCCAACTAGTAAGTAATGATTAGTAAAAAAAAAAAAAGTAGCTTGTTCTATTGGATAAAAAATAGCAATATTTCTAAATATACCTTTGGGAGGGTGGTCTGGACCGTTCAGGGCTCCCTGAATAGCAGCCTGGGCAGCAGAATTCTGGGCCTTCAGCATTTCAATGGTTTCTCTTAGTTCTATAAGTTCTGATTCCTGTGGAATAAAGAGTTTGGGAGTTTTAATATTGGAGAAAAAAAAATAAAATGGCCTTGTTTAAAGTTCTCTATCAAATGGGTTTAGTTTCACGTTGCACCACCCCCTGAGAGATCTGGATGTTTCTCTGACCTTGTTATATTTTATCTACCAGCTTCTTTCTTAGCTAAACTAAAATTGTAAGACTTTTTTGCATTAGTTAAGTCCTATAAAAGTGTTTCAGTCCTTAGTCCTTTCAAAGGGTGACTTCCAAGCTGATCAGTAGAACACCAAACAAGATATCACATCATTCAGAATGTGACATTCAGAATGTTTGGCTTAGATACCAAACATGTAATATTATGTGTAATTACATTTGATGTTTAGATGTTGGGATCAAACTATTGCATTTTATTGTATTTACAGTTACCTGGAAACTGTGAGGTTTTGTCAAATGATTGATTTTTAGATTTTGTATAAAGTGTTTTATAGTTGATAATTGATTCTTTATACACAAATATATAACATGAAGGTCATCCTAACACACTTCTACTAAATATCATTTTATTAAAGTCTGTTGGTATATCAGGGTTGTCTTAGATCCTGAAACTTTCATCCAGTAAAATTCCTAGTATGGGGAAATACTTAAAAAAATATGTGATATACAATTCTTGAATAACAAATTTTAAAAAAAAGCTTTCAAATTAGTTTTTTTTTTATAAAACTTATGTTTTCTTATTGACCTTAGGATAATTTGAAGTTATATCATAATACAAATCACTATTTCAATTTATATTTGACATTTTACTTAATTAGTAATAATTTATTATGAGGACAGTAAGAGAGTTGGGGGAGAAATAAAGGAAAGGGACTGTGTGCTCGCAGCCTGGACAACATCTCCATCAGAGGCTCAAAAATAAGAGATATCTTTCTTGATGGTGACAGAATAGTAAGTATTAGATGCTTTTTCAGCATCTCACCAGGCGAAATCCTTAGTAATGTGCTTGTCACTCATAATTTTCTCTAATGTCTTTAGCAGAAAGTCAATCAGGTTTGGACTCCTCACCAGTTGGGGAACAGTTTATCTGTATTCAATATATTCCAGAACATAGGAAAAAAGGTAAGGATTTTCATTGCATGAAATTTCTTACCACATGGGAATGCCCAGTGACTGTTCTAACCTTGGACACTTAATAAAAGATAGACAATGCTAATTAAAAAGATATACAGGTTAGGATAGGTACTTGAAACCCCTACACTTATTTTCATTGGGTAATTGTATCCCTGACGAGAACAGCTAGATTTAAAAAGCCAAATTCTTTTCATAGACTATTCATACGTTACAAATCAAAGAACCTTATAATGAGAAATCAATGGTAACCTCTTGAAGTTACACATAGGTCATTAAATATTTGGCTGTAATCCATTTGCACTTACCTGTCATAATGGGAAAACCTGATATTTATGGAAAATTGTCCAATCCAGTTTATTATATTTCTGTCTTTCTTTATTTCTAACTTCTGTATTTTGGCTCTTGCCTAACTAGCAACATGTAGGTTATATTAAACACTTAAAATTAATTCCCTGATATAGAATATTTACTGGAAATTCATTGTTTTTACCAGAAAGTTATTAAAAAGGAACAACTATAGGGCTAGCTAAATAGCTCAGTGGATGAAAATGCCTGCAAGGAGAAACAGGTGCCTGCGGTTCGATTCCAGGCCTGCCGTGCCAGCCCCACCCCCGGGGTGCCCTGAAATGGCAACTGAGACTGGGCATGGTGGCGCCCACCTGTAATCCCAGTACTTGGGAGGTGTAAACAGGTGGATCACTACAAATCCAATCTAGTAGC